GAAGTACCTGCAATCGGGAGTCCATTTCACGAAGGATGAATGACGCCCATGAGAGCCACATGCTGACGTGGTGTCATACGAATGATTGATGAGCTCATCGAACGGTCGTCATTTACTGTCGTCATCGCTGTCACGATCTCTCGTCTCTTCCAGCGGTCTTCGCCGGTATCGCCGTGCTGTTGCCAGGAGGTTCTCTGAAGTCAAATGAGGTTCTTCAGGTGAAGTTGTCCATTCTTTAACTGAATAATATGCTTTCGAATATTATGAAAGTCTCTAGTTTTATTTCTTTCATATTTATTGCATATACACCTTCAATTAGGATTATATCCATTACCTAATTTAAAAATGAGTTCCGTTGAAAAAAAAAATGAGAAAAAAATTATTAATATTTGTAAATACACAACGGTCAGCAAGAATCTCAAAGTGTTCGAATGGGCTTAGATAACGACCGGACGACCAAGACGTCCTACCGCCTTACTGTCAACCGCGTGGTCAGGAATCGATCGACATACTATGACAAGCGATTCGAATGACAAATCACGCTAAAATTCAAAAAAATACCACACAATTATTATGTATTTACATATCTTATAACTAAATTTTGATATTTAATAATTTAGTGTCTCAATCACAATAAAATATATGCATAAACAAAATAATTGTTGTGTTTCGAAAGATTCATGGTGGTCGAATGATTATTTGACGATTTAGCTGCATGAAAGTCTAACATACAAGGGTAATTGAAATGACAGGTGGAGACACCAAAAGTTCATACATAAAAAAATCTCAAAATGAAAAAAAAAAAACCAAGAAGTCTATTCCAGTCAGAACGATCCACTATAAGTTGATGAGTACACACACATGCCCTTATCCTATAGGCAAGAAAGAGTTACATAATTTCTTGAAGTGTAATGATTGTATGCAGAACTATTCATTGTATAGTGGTTGGGAACACTTGTCATTGGGAGTAGTTTATGGGACTACCATCTTCATGATGCATCGTTGCATGGTGTTTAAGCTGATACATTGCTCTGTATGGTGCTTGGTTAATCTGCGACATCGGTGTTTACCGATCGAAAAAAATGTGGATTTTGATTTTCTCTTGTGCATTGTCGATGAAATTTGTACACTGTTTGTTTTATTTCTTGGTGTGTTGTGACTATGATTATTTCTCGTTATCAAGTTTTTCTATGTTAAATCTCATATTTCTTGTGAAAAACTTGTTTAGTGCACTGTTATTCAAAACTTTCGTTTCGAATCTTTCGAATCTGTTTTCGCAATTCACATCCTCCCCCCAACAATCAGGTTAAATAAATGAATTAATTCTATCAAAAACTAAAAATAATTCAAGTCTTCATCGAGTCATCAACAACTAGATATAATTTAATACTTTGGGGCAAAAAGTTACAATTAGAAGAAAGAAACTAAAACACTTGAGGAAGACCTGGGAGACTTCTAGATGGAATGGAGAGAAAATAGGAATAATAATAATTTTTTAAATATAGTAATTGAATGAGATAATTCAAATGATTTTACGCACCTTCTTAGTAAATTAATAATTTAACAGAAGAATTCAAAAAATGCTAGAAGCACGTTCTGATTGCTTAGTCTCTACTAAACACCATTTTAACTGGAATTTGAGTTTATATTTCCTCAAATACAATAACATTTATTTAACCTTTGATCAATCTTGACAAACAAATCAAACAACTTTCTTACTGACATCGCAGTTTAACATATATTACCAATATAATTTTTTAATCGATTTGTTAATCAATAATAACTAATTAGCACCTATAATAATAACTAATTGGCACCTATAATTGGTGTTCTATGTTGTTTAGCTTCCCAAGTTTTTAAATGTAAATTTTAATAATATTTTTTAAAAATTCAATTTTTCTTAAATAAAAATAAATGGCTATATGTATTATTTGCTTTCGTTTCACCACACTTTGCCCATAGCAATCGCACCCATTATTCAAATTAATTTTATTTTCAATTTATTAACATAAAAAATATATTTTATTTTGCATAACCAAACAAAATTAGAAATCTAGAAAAGTGTTTGACTTGACCTTTGACCAAATTCGTGCTTGTTTTAATTAATTTGCAATATAAAAATTATTTTTTAATCATTATATTACAAAATATTTAAAAATAAGTCATGTTCACACGCAAAAACTGATGTCAGCCGTGATGATACAGTTCACGCGTAGATGGATTCTGCCTAATTCAAATTCAGTGTATCCTCAATTCTTCTCTATCTACTAGATTTGATTAGGGCTCCACTGAAAGATAGGGCCAATTAATTATAATTTTTAGCTTAAATATTAATTAATTAAATTTTTTAAAGATTTACATACATATTACTCAATTTTTATGTATTTATATATATATCCAACATGAACTTTAATATTTTAGCTCTTTTTAAAAAATACATTTAATATATAACACACTTAGCATATATTAGCTTACAAAAATTAAAGGGCAAATTTGTTACAAAATTAATGGATAGCACTCAACTTTTAAGGAATTTGCAAAGAAAAATATTTGCGTATATAAGACGTACACAGCGCTGCGTACGTTAGGGGTTATTCAGGGGTTATAGGGGGTTATATCCGGGTTATACCCCCTGTAACCTCCGTGTAACTCCCTTGTAACATCCGTGTAACTTATTTGTGCCCATTAAATTACAGAAGCGCAAAACTCATTTGTAGGTTACATGTAGTTTACAAAAAAGTTACAGGGGGTTATAGAGGGGTATAACCCCGAGATAACCCTCATGTACACCCTGAATAACCCCTTGACGTATGCAGCGCTGCGTACGTCTTATGTACACAAATAGTTTCCATTTGCAAAAAAACATTATTAAAAATCACTTCATAAAAAAACAATTGGTTGACACTCCAACATATTCTTCTAAAATATGTATACATCTAAAATTTAAAATTTGATATTTAACGTCATCAAAAAAATAATAATTATTACTAATTATTTAAATGCAAAATACTTATTTTCATAAATAAGCTTACGATATAAAAATGCTTAAAAAGAGAAAAACTAAATTTTAATAAATGTATTAAAAGTATTTTTCTTTTTCTTTTATTTGTTTTTTGATTTAGGGTTTAGGACAAACGAAAGCAAAGGCCGTGCACACGTGCCTCCGTCACGCTTGCTCACTTTCAAGGTCTAGCAGTCAAGTCTTTCTGCTGCTTGGACAGATACGGGCCACTCCAGTTCGGTTGCCGACATGCCGCCTTGGTGGCGGGGCCCGTTTCCACACATGCGAAGGAGACCACGGCGTGGCTGAATAGGCTGCTTGCTATTCTAGTCCGGCAGCAAATGATTGAAACTTCGGGCCCACTTCTAGTAACTCTCTGTGTGACGTGTGCTGGCCCTCGTGTATGGTAGGGAGCTTATCAGATTTTATTTTAAAATTTAATTTTAATTTAATCCGCGTGCTCCAGCGGAGGCACGTGCAACACACGCATCACAAAGTGATCCAAGTCCGTTCAAATAATAAATGATGATTTTTTTTAAGAAAAATAAAAGAATCAATTATGAGAAAAATAAATTCTAATTTATATTTAATAATTTACAATAAAATAATTTGAGATATTTATTAATGTTGTTAAGCATCATTAAATCAGTCCACTCAGTTCCTTGGCTTCTCTTTTGGCGAGTATAAGAAATTAAAAAAATAAATTAAATTTAATTTTAAATTTATAAAACACTTTTTAAAATTTCTCTTACATCTTGATAGTTAAATTTAGTTGGCATTTAATAAATAAATAAATATATATATATATATATA